CTTGGAAATGTTTTTATACTAGTTTATACTGCTTATGTGGATAGTTTTATAACCTTCTGTTGGCAGATAGAGGAAAAGATGTTTTCAGTTTGTTCCACTACCAACTAAATTAATTGTTTCACTTGCAAAATCAGAAGGGTGCTGCAGTCTGGCTGGGCACAAAATCACGAGCCACTCACAGCCTTGTAGATTCAAACAGCAATTCTTTATTCCCAAACTCACACTGGCACTCTACACGTTCTTGGGAAATTCACGTTCTGGGCAAAATCAACGTACTCCACCGGGCTCTGAATTCCAAATACTCTCTGAATCCCGCGAGAACTCAATGGGAACTCAAGGAGCAGGAGCACCTGAGGCAGCAGAATATGTCCTATTCCCAGCAGGGTACACCTTAAACCTGGAACCGCCCTAAACCCAAGGAGCGGGATACTCCCTAATCCAAGCAGGATACACCCTAAACCTGGATCCGCCCTTGTCCTTGATCAAGGTCACCTTACATGCAATGTCACTGGAAATGACCTAGGTCCAATAAGGAGAGTCCTTCCTCTAAGCAACATTGGGTAGGCTGACAAAGAATTTGCTATGCTTCATTCCTAATTGGCAATGGCTCTCAGCAGAAGGGTATGGAGAGCAGTGGCAGAGAAGAGGAGAGCAGCATCTGGGATTGGGGTCTCTGATGGCCCCATGGTTGTGGCATGCCTGGTGCCTGGGAATGTTCCTGGGTGGCTTTCCTGGGTGTAGCTGCTATGGTAATGCCCTACATGAGGAACCTCTTTGCAGTAAAGTCTTATCAGCTTCAAACTTGATCTCCGGCACATTATTCCTGGGAGTAGAGGAACTCTCTTTCTAGAAAACCACAATGTTTCACCAGCTCTGTTACTCTTGAACTTACCCACTTAACAGTAACTTTAAACAATGGATTTTCTTTAGAGCTACACAAAGGTCCTGATACTGCAACTGTAGATTGCAACCAGGGAAAGACTACATAAATGTTTCTAGCCCTGTAAATTTCTGAGTACAAAGAATAATGCTGGCATAGCCTCTAACCTGATAATGAGAAATATATAAATAAAGATTATGGGCATAACTCTTTAGACTTGCTTCTCCATCAGACAGTACTGTTCCACCCAACCCCAGTTTTATCTTCAAAATCATTCTGTGTGTGTGAGTCTCAATTTTTCTTATCTGCCTTCACCCCTCAGCAGAACCTGCTAGTTTGCTAGTTTGCTGTGCTGTTTGCAGGAGAAGGATTGGTGATGATGATGATGATGATGATGATGATGATGATGATGAATGAAAGGGCCAACCAAAATTATCATTTACTATCTTGTCATAGGGAGGATGGAACACTACAAGTTTGGCTGTCTTATAACTGTATATCTTTGGAATATAATGCTTTTGTGGGTTAGACACTCATTAGAATTGGAGAGCCTCAGCTCTCTTGAATCTTGGTCATGTCCTTCATATTAACCAAGAGGAGATTCCATGAGCTCCTCCAACGGGTATTGGCTCAGGAGCTTTTGTAATCAGGCCTAGAGTTATAAAGCCACTGATGAAAACCTGAGTAATCTCATATATTCCACTTCCTGGCAGAGACTCATGGATCTAACTGCTGTTGCCTTGGTAGGAACATTAAAAAATTAATATTTTGAATATTCCCCATACATCAAGAATATAATGCAAAGGCATGCAGGAAAGAGCACTGTGAATAAAATGTATCAAACTGATGACTCATATTTATTACATGCTCTTCTAAATGTCTTTAAGTGCAGCCCCTGTGTGATGTGCAAAATAACTATTGGGGAGTATTTTCCAAATTTACTTTTTGTTTTCTATTGGCTCACAGAGCTCTTAGGCTTTATATACTATATCATTTGAAAAGTTGCACAAACATGAACCCATCACTCATTTGCTTCTTGATGTTTTTCCTGTTTTCCTTTTTTGAGTTAATTTCTCTGTTAAACTCAAGATGAGGAAAATATGAACAAGATCTGCTTTACATTTTTTGTTATTGTTCAAAAACAAAAAAACACTAACAAATATATATATATATATATATATATGTATGTATATATATATATAGAGAGAGAGAAATATAGATATCAATATCAATATCGAATATCTATATAGATAGATAGTAGGGTCTGAAGGCGAAAGAAAAATAGGCGAGTATGAAGGAAAAAAAATAAAAAGAATAGGGAAAGAATTAACCTTAATGATTAAAACTCAAAATCTAAAGGAATTATAGTTCCCAGTATAGTTCATCCCAGGAGTGTATCATAAATGCATCTAATCCCAGCTCTTTTGCTAGAATCCAGCATACGTCCCTTTAAGAAGAAAAGAAGTGAACCCCGAAAGTACCATCATATCTACCCTTTCCATTCTTGAGACCTTTCTAAAGAGTAGACTAATTCAATTTCAATACACAAAAATACGTATTTAATACACTTTATATGAAATATATACAGTTGAATGTATATATCAAGGGTCATTAATTCAAGGAATAATATGCAGTCCTAAGATTACTATGTTTGATGAGTTGCTTTACAATTAAGGTAACTGTTCTAAATGTAAAACTCGATTGGATTTAAAATTAAGCTAATCCATTTTTTATTTTGAAAATAATTGAAAAGAATACACTATTTAATCTCTTTATAGACATGTGATATTGTTATAATTATTGTAGACAGCTATGGGAAAAAACTTTCCCTATGGTCATTACCATATTGCATCATTTCTTCTACAATAACTTTATAAGCAGAGAAAGAAACATTTCTTACCAAAGATATTGCAGAATAGATGGTTTTATTAGGTGAAAGAACAGTGATTTTGTAGCAGCCTTTGAGTTTAGGTGATCAGTATTCTCTTGAACTGATTATTCACAAAACAATTCCTCAGGCATCACCCTTATTTCAGTTTGAATCTGTACTCAAATGATATCAGGAAGACAAAGAAAAGTGAAACCAAGTTCAACTCCTGGGAAATATAGGTGAGATCTTTTGTTTTATAACTGTTATAGGTCATTTATGTGCAATGGGAAATTCAGTGAAATGTCTATATTATACATCTGTAATATAATTGGAAGACACACTTCTAAGAAGTTATAGAGAAACTAAATTTAGATGATAAATAATAAAGTATATGTGTGCATGACTAAGAGTTAGGATAACATGAAGGTGAATAGAAAATGTCAATCATTTCAAAGGACAGTGAGACTGTATCACATTACAAATGATCAGAAAGGGGAAATAGATTACATTTAGCTGGGTCTTGATTTCAGAAGACAGAAGAATTTTTCTAAGACTTTGTAAAATGAACTGTAGAAAAACAGATCTCAAGCTCATGTGGGGAAACTCATTTTTTTCTACAATGGAGGTAAACAACATTGTTCACAGTTGTTGAAAACAACTATTATTTGTGTTCTTGTAAAGTGAAGTGCTCTCAGTGGAGAATAGTACTATTTTCTAAGCAGAAAAAAAAAAAACAGGGGAAGGAATGTGTGAATCAGGGGATGTGGCTGATTTAGATCTGATTCACAGTATTGCTATTACTGTTATTACAATTAGTATTTCAATTTTGGTGGCGAAGGGGTACCAGGGATTGAACTCAGGGACATTTGACCACTGAGCCACATTCCCAGCCATATTATGTATTTTATTTAGAAACAGGGTCTCACTGAGTTGCTTAGCACCTTGCTTTTGCTGAGGCTGTCTTTGAACTTGTGATGCTCCTGCTTTGGCTTTCCAAACCCTTAGGATTTTAGGTGCATGTCATAGCAAGTATTGCTATATTGTAATGCACAAAAGTAAGCAGAACTGTGATGAATACCCTAGGATCTGAAGTACACAAACCTGATGAAATCTATAGTTGTCAAAAAGCTGGCAATGCCTGACATTATTCCTGCAAAAGGCTAGCTAAGAGCAACAAGCCAATAGCAGTAGAAATCAACATATTAGGTAGACACCAATGGGTATGGGATTGCAAGAGGACAATTACAACTAGAGGAAACATTCACCTCTGTGACCTGACTTACTGGAGAACCCTGAAAACCCCTAAATAAAAACCCCTCTGTATGCCTTTTCCATCAAAACGTAAGAGTGACCTCACTAGTGTGTCTATTTATCTACTTATATTTAACAACATTCATTTCCTAAACCCAACATAATAATCACTAAAGGACAACCTCTCCCAAAAATGTTGAATTCACTCAAACTTGGAGAACTATAATATTCTAGCATTAGACTTGAAAAATTGGAAGGACACCTGAGAAATATTCACACAAAAAGGTGCTTCTTTTGTTTTGATGTTTTTCATTTTCTTCAGTTTCAGGGCATTTGTTTGTTTTAGTTACTGCACAAATGTTTAGTAATAAATAAGGCCATTAGTAAATTATGGTAAAACTTCAGACACTCCACATTGCAAGAGCTTGTGCAAAAACAGAGACCATATATTCATACATGAATATCTGAAGGGGAGCCTGCAGAAGTCACCCAATCTGGATATATCAAGGACCCTTGTGTGTATGTAGTGACCATATGTGGCTGTATTCAGAAAGGAGCACGTGGGGATATTTTGAATTCTACAACCAAAACAAGAGAAATCTTGTCTAAAAACAAAGAATTGTTTTATATCTGTTGATGTGTCTTTTACAGAACTAACTAAATATTTATCCATAATGAGATAAGTAAACCTTAGGAAAATGTTAGGCATGTGAGAACCTTGGTTTGATATATTATTTCAGGGATTTGCTTTATCTCTGTTTTCTGCTTCCTCATTTCAAGTGAATAAATGTGGTATATCATTGAGGTAAAATATAAGAATGGAGACACTCAAATTTTAATAATTATTCTTGTCAATCACAGTAAGTACCCATTTTTGCAGTTTCAACTTCTGTCATCATTCATTTTATCCTGAGTTCAAAATAAATGCTGATAGTCTTTCTGATGTTTTATTTCAGATAATTTAACGGTTTTGGTCACATAGCTTACCTGATTCATTACATGGAAAAAATAAATAATGTAACTGAATTTATTTTCTGGGGCCTCTCCCAGAATCCAGAGGTTGAAGAAGTCTGCTTTGTGGTGTTCTTATTCTTCTACACAGTCATTCTTCTGGGAAACCTCCTCATCATGCTGACCGTTTTCATGGGGAACCTTCTGAAGTCTCCCATGTATTTCTTCCTCAACTCCTTATCTTTTGTGGACATTTGCTTCTCTTCATCTACAGCACCCAAGACAATTGGTGACCTTTTAGCAAAGAACAAAACTATCTCATATGAGGGGTGCATATTAGAACTCTTTGGGGTGCATTTCTTTGGAAGCACTGAGATCTTCATTCTTATAGTAATGGCCTATGATCGTTATGTGGCCATCTGTAAACCCCTGCACTATATGACCATCATGGACAGGGAGAAGTGCAATAAAATGCTCCTGGGGACCTGGGTAAGTGGGTTCATCCACTCTGTTATCCCCATATCTCTAGTAGTTCAGCTACCCTTCTGTGGACCCAATGAGATTGATCACTACTTCTGTGATGTCCGCCCTGTGCTCAAACTTGCCTGCACAGACACACATATTATCGGTGGTATTGTGACAGCCAACACTGGTACTCTCACTTTGGGGAGCTTTGTGATCTTGCTCATCTCCTATACTGTCATTCTGGTGTCTCTGAGAAAACAGTCAGCAGAAGGAAGACGCAAAGCTCTGTCCACCTGTGGAGCCCACATCACAGTGGTCATCATCTTTTTTGGTCCCTGTATTTTCACATACATGCGCCCTGATGTTACATTTACAGAGGATAAGATGGTGGCTGTATTTTACACCATTATCACTCCCATGCTAAATCCCATAATTTACACACTGAGAAATGCAGAAGTAAAGAATGCTATGAAAAAAATATGGGTTAAGAAGGTTTTCTGGATTGCCAACAGCAAAAACTGGAAATAATAATTTAAACTGGGTGATCCTAAAAGTGATCAACCTTAGTTAGTTCATCTCTACAATAAAGAAAATAATAACATCAAAGGATTTTCAAAAGTAACAAATGACAGAAAAACATATTGCACAGAATTAAGGTATTCTTTATCATGATCATTATACTTACAAACAATTAGATATGTTCTAATATTCAAAGGCTTGAGAGTCTGAGTATGCTGAGAATCTGCACATGAGCATAGTAAGCAACATTATTTTCTCCTGTTGCTCTTTATCTTTTATGGATTTCTTTAAGTGTTTAAAAAACTACTATGTAATATTTAAGGTTATTTCTGTTATATAAAACAATGTTTGGTACAGATTAGAGAATCAATAATGCATAGATTGAATGAATGACAGAATACATAAAAACATCAAATCTTAGCTAATGAATTTTGATATGTCTCACAAAACAGTGAAAACATTCTAGTAATCTTGGAATGGGAACACATGATATGTTCAGAAAGTTAGAGATAAAACACAATCTTGGAAAATAAAAAAAAAATGCTTTTATCTATTGGTTGTGGGAATAAAAAGTTTTTTTCCATTCTTAGGATTGATCTTTTTAGATATATATACTATTGTCTTCGACCCCTGTCAACTATGTTTCTCACTAACTATATATATCTCACTAACTTAATTCTTCTGACTGTAAACTTTGTCATCTGTACCCTCTGTAAAGTGACTACCAGCCAGGCTGAAGAATGTGAATTAAAACAAAGCCACATATGAGAACCAGGCTACTGTGATTCAATATCAAGTGTAAATACAACCTACTTAAATGCATATGCTGGAATCCACAATTCTTATAATATTTGAGCCAAAGAGCTTTACTGAATACACAAAGCCATTTTTCATTGACTGAAATAACATTATTTCCATATCTGGGTTCCAGAGGGACCCATAAAGGACAGGTATTATTTTTTTAACATTAACTTTTTTGTGCCCTGGTGGTAAATTTCTCCTTAACCGTGACAGTGACCTGAGCATTATTCTTTACAGTAAAGATACATATCACTGATTGTCTCTGCCATTGTTTCCTTGTCTCGTCCACAAATCTGGTAGTATGGATGCTGCCTTCATTTAGGTTTGTGTTTATGCTTGGGGTGGAGTGTAAGCTTTACATATGACAAAGACTGTGGTGCTCAATAGTGAAATCTGATGTGGTTAAATCCACAAAAATAGAGGTGTAAATATTATACATCTTCAAGACCTCTATATAAGTAGCTATAAGAAAAGTATAAGGCTTGCTTCAAAACTATGTATATCCATGGGTATTGCCCCAGTTTAAGAAGCATGCACTGGGCTTCCGTGTGCCACTATTAGATCAATTGTGAAATGGAAACTAAATTTATCCTCCTCCATGTATGTTTATCATGAATGTCACTTATGGGGTTTTCTGTAAATATAACAAACTATTCTGAGAGAGTTAGACTTTTTTTAGTCAGCAATATCAGCTATGAAAATACCAGTCTTTTTAACTATACCTTTGAGTTATTTTCATACCATCAATAGAATATCTGCATACTTAGATGTACAAATCTGGGAACAGATGATTCTTGATGCATTTAGAAAACAAGAGATGTCTGTATCAATGGAATTCAAACAATACTATCTGTTCTGTTAAAACTGAATTTAGAAAACTGGCAATAAACATGTGTTCTCCATTCAATAACTTTTTCCACCCTCATCTTTCCATTACGTCATTGAACTAACAGATTAATCCTGTGGGGGTATTTGTGACATCAGAATTCTTACCTGTTTTTCAAAAATAGAGTAGAACACATGGAAGAGGACTCAAGTTTCCATCACCGTCTTCATAAACATCCTTGTTCACAAAACTCCTGAGTCAGTTCCCATCAGAGGAGATCAGAAAGTCTTGAGGGATTCCTAGGGAGATGCATAAGAATCACAAGAACTCACACTCTCCTCAGCTCTAGTGAGACAAAGTCCCCGCCAACTGCGCATTTGATTTTGTGGATGCAGGAGCACAACATTGAATGCCACCCTGGTCACACAATGGCAGATCTGACTTTGGTTGGAAACTTCTTTGATTACAAAGATGAAAACCTTCTAATTTTCAAGATAAAAAAAACTAAAGGTTTCCTTCCTATGTTTTCTCTTTGGCGCTGTACTCCTCTCCCCTGGGGCAGTAAAAATCATTCCAGACACATTTCTGAGCAAGTCTCAATAAAACATATAAACATTGTTTTTTTGTTCTTCCATGTGACATCCTTTTTCTCAATTAAATATATCTAGAAAGAAAAACAGGTATCACATGTAGGAGGATCTAGAATTAAAGTGCTTCATGTTTTCTGAGTGAGAATGTTTCATTTTTCAATGTTCTGAGTCCAGTTCTTGTAGAGTGAGCAGTTGTTCAATTTGAATGGCAGAGTAAAAGAACACTGCTGCTTTGTGCATGAGAAAGAAAAGCTCCTGGAGGAATCTGGAATTTGGAATTAAGCACAGCCACATAAGACTAGATCATCTGAATTCCATCTTCCCAATGATACATCAAAAACATTACTTTTTTATTAACCATTAGTTGTAGGATGAACTTTTGCATAACACTACCAACTTTGCTCTTTCAAGAACAGTTTTGTCAAAAAAATATAGAACCTCAAAAACACAGAAAGGTACCTTGAAAGAAATAACATAAAAAGTCAAGCTACAGATAATGGACATGAGAGACAGAACGTTCTGGTTTCTATGCATTATATCCAGGCAATAAATTACTATGGATGGTATACACCCATAATATCAAGTACTTATAAAGCTAAGGCAGGAGCATCACTAATCTGAGGCCAGCCTCAGCAACTTAGTGAGACACTGTCTCAAAAAAGGGAGGGGGTGCTGGGAATGTAGCTTCATGGTACAGCACCCCTGAGTTCAATCTGCAGTAATCAAAGTCCATATATACTATATTATTTATGCTTACACCTAAATACACAGCCTTCTGCTCTTCCATTATTTTTTCCAGGGATCATACAAATGAAGAATGTAATACTAACAATGCCTGGGTCAATTCTCTTTCACTCTGATTTTTTTCGATAAATTATGAAGATTAACAAAAAGTAAATCAGAGCCATGTTCAAATAGACCTATTAATTTGAGGGAGAAACAAAATAGTCAAATGTTCATAACAAGCAAATTGACTTTACTATTTGGAACATGTGCCTATATACACATCAAGAACAGGCTTATTGAAAATAAACACCAGGATCAGACCCCTGTCTGTGCAACAATAGTTGTCTCTGTTAAACTTCACTTTTCTGAATTGGATGATCCCACTAGGCATAATTTCTAGAGCAAAAACCAACATCAAAATCAGAACCTGACTTGATCCACAATGTTCTTCTTATTTCCTTTCTAGTATGACACATTTCTAAACATAAAATCATGCTTCCAAGTTTCCTAATTTTTAAAGCAGGACTCAAGCCCAGGTCTCTTTGAAAATGAAGGGCATTGCTGAAAACCTGGTGCTAATTTCTACAAATGCACTCGTGACCTGGACACTTGGACACTGCTGTAATTAGAGTGTGCACAATTAAATATCTTAATAGGGACTATGAGTATGTGATAGTGCAGTAGAACATGGCAGCCCTGTGTTTCTCTATGTGAAAACCTGGTGAACATTCACCCCCATTCTTGGATCTATTTCTGCAGGGATACGGTGCGTTGTAGATGACACTAGATGATCTGATGTCCATTCCAATTCACAGACATTGAATATTCCTACATATATGAAGCAATTTCCTCAACATGCTGAAGAGAATATAGAATTATGTTCCAATTTTTAGTAAGTTTTACTTGCTTTAACTCCCCTGATTTTACAGCAGTAAGTATAATTAACAATTTTAAGTTGCATATATTCACAGTGTATTATGTGATGATTTGATATCTACACAGCCTATGAAATAATTACCACAGTTAAACTGATTTATATGTCCAACACCACATTTGTTTTCTTTGTATGTCAATGTACAGTGTTGTGAGCCTGTTTCATGATGTAAAAGCCTTTCTTCATTCCTAGGATAAGAATACCCACGCATGTTGAGGCACACCTTTGTTTAGTTTGAAAGATGAAACAAACCCCTTAATGCTATTCACATGTTTCACATACACAGAGAAATAATTAATTGCACACCAGGAACATCTATTTTTTTATTTGTGTTCCTACCTAATGTTCATGCTGAACATTTACAAAGAGTATCATGTGAAGAATTATGAAGACTTTTAACATGCGAGGGAAAAAAAGTAACCATGCAAATATTCTGAGTTTGAAGAAAGGTATTCACGCTAAATGCATGCTGTTCTACTAGTTAATAAAAAAGAAAAATAGAGAAAAATTTTCAACCCTCTTGAGACTTTAACTACTTGAATACATCACCAATTGAGCATGGAATTAATTAAAATAACTCTGATAAATATATTGTAAATAGTATAATCATATTCTAATTTTCATTTTTTGAAGCATAATTTGTTTCAAAGTAATTAAATTGGTCAACACATGCTTTTTGCATTGGTTTACTGCATGTGTATTAGTGGGAATCTCAAAAGGAAGTGATTGGGAATACTCTATTTCTATGAGAGGGATCTCTGTTAAAATACATTTGTTTCCCAAAGAAAGGAACAACTTCAAAACTATGCAGTCTTTACAATTGATCATATTTACAAAGTATAATAATTCCTATTAAGTCTGAGACAAACAAAGACAAAATGTTCCAGAACTTAAGATATGGAATGGAATTGGAATATCATATAATCTAAATTTATGTTTAGAGAAGATAAGGATAATTATTGTTGTTGTTTGCATGAGCCACACCATTTAATTGAATGGCAATACTTGGAAAACTTGAATATTTCAAATCTATTGTGGTTCTTTTATCTCTGAAAGTCCTTGCAATATTGGTGTGTTTCTAACTTTTTCTTTTGTCAGTGATGTTGGGGATCCTATAGTATAAGGAAACAAC